GAGCACAACAAAACAATGCACTGTTTTTGTTTTGTTTTGTTTTGTTTTTGTTTTTCATTTTCCACATTCCACTTACTGCCATTATAATCATCATCATCATCATGTTCATTTGTTGATACTTGCTCCGATATCAATCATTGTCCTATACCAATATACCTCATCGTCATCATCTGAAATGTTCATTGGCAAGGGATGGAATTGGATTTGTCCCTTTGTTTTCATTCTTTCATTCCTAAGGATGATGGTTGTTAAATTTCAAGGCACCCAACGTAATAATTGAAAAGAACAAATCAACTCAAGGCCAATCAAATTGGAATAACATTTTGCAAAATCAAAAGTCATTCACTTTTTCCTTTACATAGCGATTCATTGTACCAATTAAAAACGACGGCAACAATGGTGGGATTGAAAACATTTCCCATCCACACCCCATGATGAATTCCATAATGGACATTTGAAATGAACCAAACTGCAAACATTCATTATTTTCAATATTCAATACTTGATGAGATTTTCCTACTGTCCCATCTGTTCCCATTACGGTTGTCATTGCCAAGCGACAATCATTCATTTCCATGGTCCAAGAGAATAGAATTTTCTTTCTTCTTTACTATATAGTAGTAAGTTGTTGTTGTTGTTATTGTTGTTGTCGTTGTCGTTGTAGTTGTTTTGTTTGGTTCGCGTCAATAACCGATTATGGGGAAACAATCCTAGTGTTAATGATGAAAAGCAAATTACAATTGACGTTGAATGCAAGGTTGACGACTTATACTGAATTTCACAAGTGAATTTGATTTCAATTCATAAATAACACGCAAATTCAAGACAAATAAAGATGTGAATCTGAATGGTTCCCATAGACACCTGTTTATGACGTGCTGTATTTGGCTAGCCACTTTTTTTACTTTTGGTGGTTTATGGTTTATGGTTTATTTTCATTAACACACACGTTTGTGTCACATCAATGTTTTACCGGTAACAGTAAACAGTGACTGATAATTAATTTTCTCTTGTCCATACAAATTATTCATTGTTCTTCGTGATGGCACTGAATCACTATGAATCTTGAATAGCCGGTTTCCAATTGCAAATTGAAAGAAATTAATTGAAACTAGTAGTAATAGATTGCTGAAAACAACATTGTCTTTCTTGTTGTTTATTTTTCTCATTTAAGTTCGTTTTTTTCGCTATTTTCGTTGTTGTTGTTGTTGTAATGGAGTTATCCCGAAACATTCTTAATTTGATTAACTTGTCCATTCATTCGTATGGAACGTCAATGTTAACCCATTTCTAGTGAATGGATTACATGAAATGATTGATCAGTGTGTTTTGTCTGCTGTTTGATGCATTTTGCTAACTTGATGACAACATACATTTGAAACATTTTTGCAGGCTATCATGTAATCTAATGACGCTGTCATCATCATCATGATGATTGAAATGGCCATTTTTCAATATTATGGTTCTAAATAAGGTTAATAGCAACTAATGACAATAAAGAAGAATTGAAGCAATCAATCAATCAGTAAACCAATGCTGTAATTCCACTATTGCAAGTCTATGGAATGCAATTAATCAAGTGATTCTGAAACTTGCAACGATAATCATCCCAATCACATCAATAAATTTTTTTCAATCAAATTAAAGCAATACAATCACCCATTTGGAAAATGGAGAAAAAATCCATCCAACGATTATACGTGTTGACCAACATAACAATAACAATGATAATATATAAATATATAAATATTGGTCACATGTCTTGATATTTGATTCTTTCTAATTTCCTCTCCATTCGGAACATGTTCACACTGTCCACAATGGATGACTCATGTATTTGCCCATTAATGTTTGTGGTAAGACATTAAAATGATGTTACTGAAACAAAAACAAAAACAAAACGAAATGCAATAAGTGTGTTGGCCGTGTGTGAGTGTGCCGAATGGCAATCAATCAAAACCACATGCACAGACACCGGAATGAAAGCTGAGAATCTTGGAAAATACAAACAAAACACATGAAACAATACAAATAAAACAAAACAACAACATCGACAACAACAACAACAACAACAAGAACAATTTTCTTTTCTATTGTTTCATTTTGTTTTTTCCTCTAACAATGAAAATGACAACAACAGCGACAAAGACGACGACACAAACATAAACAACTCATTAATTAATGATTGATGTCGTAAAATGGCCAGAATCTAAAAGAATTCATTTTGGCAACCAAACCATACCCTACCATACACAAAACTATGGAGAGAACCACAAATGGTTACATTACAATTGTCATTTTGTTAGTGGGTCTGTGTTTTGTCATTGTACACCTTTCGCTTTTCTAATCATTAGTGATTCTACATATACACACACACACACACAGCACATAACCATATCATTTTTGGTTTGTCTCTTTATTTTCACTAATAATACTTTCATTTGGTTCATTCATTTATTCACATGCATAAACAAATGAAAAATACTTGATGGCTTTCTCTCTTTGATTTATTATTCTCTTGGATAAATACTGGAAACTTAAACTGAACTGAATAGGACAGTGAAAATGTCGAAAACGTCAATCTGGAATTTTTCCATTTGGTTTAGTTGTCAAATCTGACGTACAGAAAATTATTCAACAATTCAGACAAGCAAAATAGAAAGTCTGATTATGACTTAATTCGTTGCTTTAGCGATTCGATCATTTTACAAATTGAGCACATTTCACTCATCAATTGGTGACTGGTTGGAGTTTCCAACAAACAAAACTACAGACAAACAGATCATTAGACATTTCATGGTCGTATTCAATGGTCATCATCATTTCCGACTTTCATTTTCTTTTTTCTTCACCATGGCACATGACGATCAACGGAAAATGGAATCAAAGACAAATTCAGCAAATTTCATTACACACAAATAAACAGGGAAAAATATTTAAATTTCTCGTCATCAACGTCATTATCGATCAGATTGGTGGTAACCACATTTTGTCTGTGATTTTCTTATTGGCTCACTGAAATTTTCCATTTCGATTGTCGATTGTCGTCATTTCGTTCACTAGGGTTCAATTTCGTGACAATTTCATTTTCAATTTCCCCAGTTTTTGATTAACGGTTTCAAGCAAATAGAAAACATTTCTTTCTCTTTGATCATCATATACTAATACAATATTGTACAAGTGTGTGTATGTGTGTGTTTCATTGTGCGTTTGTCATCATTGGTTGTCAAAAAAAGATTGCTCACACAAAATTTGCGATCCAATAAATGTCTCATCATCATTGTTCAATGACCCAAGGCAATGTATTTGATCATAATGATGATCGTAAATTACCGGAACTAAAAAGTTTTTTCCACTTTTCAATTTTGTATTCAATATTCGATTCCAGTCATTTTTACATTCACTAATAATGATCGATCGATCCATCACCATTGCGACGATTTGATCGATCGATCGTCCTTTTTCTATTCGATTCGGAGAAAGAAATTCGCTATTTCAAGTCCAAATGATGAATTCTATGATGATTGCGTGGAAACGGCAACCAACCCAAAAACTGGACAGATAAAAATTTTCTTCAAACAAACAATGATTACCCACAACAAAGATCAGAATTATCCAGTCGAGAAAGAGATTGAATAAACTTTGCATCCAACAATTTCATTCATAACATGTGTATTACTGGCCAATTTCAATAGAATCATCATCATTTTTTTCGTCTCAAAAGTTTGTTCCATTTGCAACAAAAATTGATCCACTTTCATGTATCTCTTCATTTGTACGCCCACGCACACAATTACACGAAATTCACATGTTTCATAAACATTTCATTATTATTATTGCCGAGCAAATGACTATGTTTTTTCGCAATCAAAAGTGGGGTAATGGACATTGGAAATATTTTTTTCCAAGTAGAGAATTCAAAAAATTTTTTCCTCCAGCCAACGATCAGATCCCATACAATTCTTTCCGGAATATCTGTCTCATGTCTTCGATTCGATTAGATGTGGAGAAACAAGAATCGAACATCGACAAATAAGTAAGAGAGAGAGAGAGAGAGAGAGAGAGAGAGAGAGAGAGGGAAGAAAAAACATTTACATTATGAAATTGATCAATATGTGGTGGTAGTTTCTAGGAACAGCTCAAATGCGGCATTCTTTTCCTCAATTTTCAAAGCTTTATCCAACACCAAATAATCATTGCTGCTTCTATCACTTTTTACAACTACTCTTTTATTTTTATTTTTATTTTTATTTCACTAGAAAAGGACATCTGACGACAACAACAACGACGTCGACTCAGAAATAGTTTGGCTCCATAAGAAATTACTTTTGGCCAAGTTTTTGTGTGTGTGTGTGTGTATATATGGGAGGGGTGGGGGAAAAACACAAAACTATCCCATTATACACCCACGTCATAGAATGGAAAAAACACAACAAAAACGTATACTATAGGCATATATTTTGCAACCATACACATGTACAAACGAAACGTCAAAGAAAAAGCCAAATGAAATGATGAGACAAAGAGCACTGGTATAATCTATGTATGTGTATTCTGTTTGAGTCTTTTTCGGTTTTTCTGGTTGTTTGAACACCAACAGCACACATTGTACAATCCAGGAGTCATATTTATTTGCTTTTCCATACAACAATATATCAGATATACTGGCTAGTTATCTAACAGTGAAAATTTTTCAACAATCCCATCATGGATTACACGAAAGGGAATGGAAAAGCAAAGAAATGGAGAAAACTTGATATTCACAGTCTTTTTTCAGTTGGCCCATTTCATTCATTCATTGATTCAGCCATTCATTCAAATGAATTCATTCAATTCTTCGCACAAATACCGCTTATTCATTTCTGGTTTACGTCTAGGATCCTAGTATAGTACTATGTTCATCCTCTTCATGCATGTGCAGAATAGCAACTCCAACAAATACACATGAGACACAGAGACACAGAGACACAGAGAGATGTTGTTTTTATCTAAATCTAAATAATATGTGTGTTTCATTTGTGTTCACATTGGTGTCTTGGTTTCTGATAGTTTCGCATTTTCTGGTTCATTTTATTATATAAAATCATTGAATCGAAACAGTTTTAGTTTGCAATATCGTAACCATAGTATGAGCATCCACAGAAAAACTTGATCAATTGCCGCATCAATATAATACTATAACCATTGACTACGATTGCGTATTGATTCTCTTCTGGCCCAAACATCAAAGTTTAATTCAAATAATTTTTTCCGTTTTCACAATCACAATTCATTCGCGACCGCTATTCGCTCTCTCTCTCTCTCTCTCTCTCTACACACACACACACACACACACGGAAACTATTCATTCTTGATTTCTTGGATCTTTCCCATTACTATGGTTTTCGTATAAATACTATCGAGTCATAGACACACGAATGAATGAATGAATGAATAAATGAATGAATGAACAAGTTGAAATTTTTTCAATAAATTAACGTAAAATAAGATAAACAGAATCAATGATCAATGATTTTCAAGGGAAAATGAAAGAAAATGTGAATAATGTGAATACCTTGTGACCAAATTCTATTACTATGTGACTGTTCAGTTTGTTTTGGTTTTGGTTGTGCCATACATTTGTTCACTATGTATTTATTTATTCGTTCATCGGCTCCAAATGTTTTCGAAAACGAATCAAAAAGTTTTTCCTCTCCTTCTGGTCGTCATTGAAATATTTGATTTGAGATAAAAGTTTTCATCTTATTTGTTTACTTCAAGTGCATTCATCTTCAACGGTGGTGGTGTTTGCATTGGACCAAATTCCATTTGGTCATAATCAATGTTGTCACCACTGTTTGAGTGAAATTCCATAGTCATCACAATACAAACAACACTTGAATCGGATGCTCAGATTTTCCTCTCATTCAAATGATGAAACCTTTTTTCAACTGTAAATTTACTGTCAGTTTAAATATTTGAATAGTCTCGCTTTCGCTCTTCATCTATTGAATGGCCAAAATTGGAGCCAATCAATTCAATTCAATTCCATTCAATTCCATTCCGTTTCGGTTGCAACCAATTTCAGCCCAGGTTAATGGGCTCCATAAAAGCAATAATAAATTGCTTGTTTGCCAAATTGCCGGCAATTTGCCACATAAAAATGGTAATAAAACAACAAAAACATGTAAATGAGAGGACAATTCATCACTTTGTGCTTTTGATTCTGTTTTTTTTTCGCTTCATCTTCAACACGCATGGAGACCAACAATCACAAAATCAACGGCGACAATAAAAATGATGGAAAAAACAACATCAATTCAATCAACGTTTCAAATTGCAAAGAATATTATTATATTCACTTTCAAGTGGAAACAATCACGACAAAAATGTAAGTCTTTTTTCCATTCCTTCATTCACAACATCAACGACAAAAGCCGTCAGCCAATGTATGATGTTCGTGTGGCCACATTGTAATCTATCCATGTGCATGCAAGAAAATTGAAAATTTCCATTTGTCAAAGCCGGTCTCGTGAAATTTTTATTTTCTCCCGTTCCATTTTCCAATTATTATTTGCCATGATGGCCTAGTTTTTATTGCACACCTGTGATGTGTGCAATAAAAAGGTGTTGAAAGGTTTTCCCTTCATTCGTGATTATATTCTATAGACAAAAAAGAAGGAAACGAAATTGGTTTTCAATTACATAATCATATAATACAGTCAAGATGTATATAATTCAAATGGAGCGACAAAATGATCAAATCATCAGTCTCTCATTCACTAATGAAACCGGATATCCATACTATCTGAGTGTCGATTGTTTACGACATTCATGAGGATTGGCAAGTTCATTTCAAAAGAGAATTATATTCATCATCATCATTTGTCATATGGCATATATCATAATTTAGAATGGATCATTCAAACGAAATCAGTTTCGATAGTTCTATTTCTATTTTGACTCCTGCAATTTGTTTTCATTTCGATTTTTCCGAATAGATTCTAATTCGAGATAAATATTTTGTCCCTATAGGGACATTTTTGTTAGTTTTTCACTCTCACTCTCTATCTCTATTGTCATCATCATTAACTGGAAAAATAACACATTCATTGTTGCACAATCGAGCAACATTCAATGGAATGCGATTCCAAGAGAATGAAGAAGCCAAATATTGCAAAATGATTTCCAACAGATACATTGCACACAAACTGTTTACTCTCTGAACGATAAAATATTCGCTATTGATAGAGATGAAATGAAATGATGACCATTAATAGCAACAACAATGCCTATGGCTACCATATAAATCAATGCATGACTCAATAGTGATTCATATAAATCTAACCATTGATTCAATTGAATTTGTCGCTGCTCATCAATCATGATGCTCATTGTCCAAATTTTATCCGATTTTATGCCAATTGGTAATTTGTAAAGTACATACCAGTTTGTATTCCAACATTCAGCAACAATTATTCAATTATTCGCTGTGTTTGGTTACATTATTGTGATGCAATTTCCGGAATGCATATTAATAATTCTGTTCAGTGTATCATTCTCTCTTTTCAACAATGTATTGTTATAGTTATTGTTTTATTTGTTGTTCACGTTGATCATCATCATTATAATAATAACTCACGTGCCACTTTGTGCATTCATTCAGTCCGGTATCTTTGGACATAATGATCATCGAAAATGTGTTGATAGCTCAATGAGTAAAGCCAGAAACGTGAGAATAAGAATGAAATAATTTCAAATTCTTGTTAGGTTCACTAGAATAATGTTACACGAATCGATTCGTGTATGTTGGAATGGTGGACAAAACAAATTTCTCTTCATCTTTTTTAGGCACAAATCCGTATGATGATAATCGGATTTCTCATCACTTGGTACTATTGAGTTCATCAAACAATATTGCAACGAATCGAACACTCAATATCACAAGACAGATACCATGCTTACAAGTTCAATGTCAATATAGCGATATAATTTATATGACAAATTCCAGCAAATAAATCCTACAGCAAAACATTTACCAGTCAAATGTGTGTGTGTGTGTGTGTGTGTGTGTAATAAGAATCGGTGATGATTGATCGATGAATTTCTCTCTGTGCGTGTGTGTGTGTTGAAAATGTTCATTCATGTGTACAGTTTATGTGGACAATGTAAAATGGTGAACAGAAGAGGGGGGGGCTTGTTGGCCAGAAAATATCTAAATAACACAACCAGAATCTCAAGTTTTCGTAAATTTTTTTCATCATCACTGTTGCTCCCTGCTACATAAGATTTATTGAGAAGAATTTTAATTTTTTTTCTTACTTTCATTTTGCACATCGTTTGTTGTTTCAAAAATGCAAAAGTTTTTTTTTCATTCATTCAAGTTCATTCATGGAATTTGTAAACAAAACTTTCACTATGATGACCACATATGGTGAGAGAGAGAGAGAGAGAGAGAGAGAGAGAGAAATGTCGGTTTTGTCTGGCAGAATATTCTATAACAATGTTTGTTTATCTATCGATTACACCTGTGTGTCTATCATGTATTCAAATTATTCCATAGTCAATCCATTAGGTTAGTTGGACCAAGTTATTCTCACAATGACCGATCAAGCATGGCACAGATGTTCGACAACAGAGTCAAATTCAATGTATCGAGAACGATGAAACCAAACAATTTCAAATGGAAAATTAATTCTTGAAAAACTTTAAATTCTCATTTCATTTCATTTCCGCGATTAACGGACTGAGTATAAAAGTATAAAAGTATAATATAAGTATACTTGATATACTTGAAATTCTTAAAAGGCCCACTCATTTTTTTTCGCGTCCAGAATTGTACATTTGTCATTGGTAACATTCTTGATTTTCGATAATGAACATCAACATGCAACTGACTAAAATCGTGACATTACCTGAGAATGGGAATGAGTACTTGTTTAATTATTCAACAACAACAAAATTAAGCCCGGCAAAACAAATGTGTGACAAGTAAATTATTTGATCTTTGGGGAATTTTTTCAACAAAATCTTCAGACACTTTGTGATATGTTTGCTCAATTACAGAACACAGAAATTGATTAACGTCATTCAATAATCAATTCAAATAGTTGCCAATCACAATCGCACAATTCATTTCCGACAAAAAGTGGAGAAATTTATCAAATAAATTTCATCCAAGTCATGATAACCACTTGTGTGGACATTACAATTAATATCAATATCAATAGATCAATAGATCAATAGATGATGTTACAATTACACACACACCCAGACACCCAGACTGCGTATCTTCATTTTTTGTTTTTGCTCAAGACATAATATATACGGATGCTTTATGAATCTGTCAATTTTCTCATGCATATACAATTGCTCTTTCTGTTTCATCGTTATCTCGAAAAAAACACAACAGATATAATGCTCACACACTTTTATAAACACACAGTTACACTCAAGTCTTGTTGTGATTATTCGATATAAATTTTTTCGGCTGAAATGCACATTTACAATACTCGAAATGAGAACGAGAATAAAAATCAAGACGAAAAACAATTGAAACAATTGAAACATCTGTCATTGAGCGACTCACACATTTTCAGAGAGAGAGAGAGAGAGAGAGAGAGATTTCTCTTTTGAAAAATTTGCAATGATTGATTTGGTTGTTGGGCGACCCGAGGAATTATTGTCAAAACACAATCTCATTGGATGTGAATAATGAATCTATTTTTCTCTCAATCAATTGCTATCCATGCAAAACTTTTGTTGTTTCGTTTATTACTAGTAGTAGTAGTAGTAGTAGATTATTATTATTATTCTATTCATCATGATTGAATATTGCTTAATCTAAACTTTGATGATGTGGTCTAAACATAACACACACGCCTAAATCAATCGAAGCTTCGAATTTTGAGTAATCAGCCTCAATGATGAGGATTGTGATAAGAATTCAGTCGTCGATAATCATCCAAGTTGTTTTTTCAAACATTCATTCATTATCATCGAACGGCAATCTGCAATTGTTTCGATCACATCTTTGTTTTCTATTCAATATCATTCTCTGTTCTGTGTTTGATCCATCTACCAAGTTGGCCGTTACCAACACAACAGCAATCAAACATTCGCAAACATTTGCAGTGGTTCAATTGAATCCAATTTCTCTGCTCATCATGATCATTACTTGTTTGTTCTTGAATTGAATGTTTAGATCTTTTTCCGGTTTCTTTGATGGATTTTTGTTCAAATTAGCATTTCACACTTAAAATTATTCCAATGATAATGACCGTGAGATAATTTTTGCATTTCATCTGATGCCGATAAATGGATATATTGACAGGTGCAGTGTTTATTTTATGGTGAAAATTTTTTCATCAGACAAGTATAGAGATTCAGGAACGAATGGTGATAAATAAATTGGATTTGGTGGCGCAAATGGAAAAATCAAGAATCTAATCGAAAAAGGAATCACGAATCAAATAAAATAAGTCATCCAGAGAATGAATGAGAGAGAGAAACGAAATTCTGTTTCCATTATTTATTGTCACCGTCGTTGTTTGGTTTCTCCACATTCATTTTTCATTTTGCTTTCACACAATGTTGCCTTAGTTTTGTGCCAACTATTAAAAACGACATTAGACGTTAAACAAAAAAGACAGGTAAGAAGCATTTCTTTTTATTGACACTGTCAAATGTCTAGTTTCACTAGTTTCACTAGTTTTATTTCATTTCATTTCATTTCTATTTTTGTCATTTTGTGGTTTTCGATCACAAAGTTAACAGTTACTTAGTTGGTTTGGTTGGTGGTGTCTCTCATCTTTCAAATCAGATTTCTTTATCCAATTACCAGTGAGCAACATTTACAACATTTGTTCATGACAAAATCAATACAAGGAAGCATATAGTAATTATTGTCGACCGTAACAATTATTACATTATAACATTATTATTATATTACATTAATTAATTAATTAACATTAATAATTGTTATATTAATGAATGAATGTCAAAACAAAACAAAAGAAAATAATAGAAAATGAATCATTCAACAAAATTTAAATTCAACAATGGAATCATATTGGTCAGTATTGCAACGTATTGCAATCGTCGGGCTTGAAAATTTTCATAAAGTCAAATTATAACAAAACAATTTAGCCAAGCGAATGATTGAATCATTGACCTTGAATCGACTAGTAAACAACATGCACTCACACAGTGTGAAATAAAGGGATTAATTCATGTAGAAATGAATTGCACTAGGATTTTATATGACACATGAAACATGAAACGGCTTGCATTCTTCGCCACATTATTCCTTGCGCTATTGTTGGTGGAATTTTTTACTTCTTGATTTACTCACTGTGTGTAGGTGATTATAATACAGAATATCATTATGGGCTTTTCATTTCTCTTTGTTGTTTCTGTCACCACCACCACCACCACCACCAGCATCATCATTGTAATTGTTGTTGTTTTTTTTTCACTTGTCATCATATGATCTTTAAAATGGTTAAATGGTTGATGATGCTGGATAAATAACATCAACAAAAAAACGAGAAAAACAGTGGATAAATAAACAAATGTTGTTTGTTCGTTGGTTGCTTGAATTAATAATCGAATAATCACCAAAAAGAAAAAAAGATGCAACCAAACAAACACCCATACATGACAAAACTAAATCCCAGCAGTGAATGAATAGCATAATTTAATAATAGCACAATGAATGGCAAGAATTACAATTCTAAACAAACAGCCAACATGGTCCAAATGTTGCTAATCATGAACATCAAGTTAAAAACATGTGTGTATAGGCCGATAATTGATTACATATAAACTAAGGATTCCGCCCAACAAACTACATACCAAAAATTGGCTCACAACAGGAAACGGAACAAATATTTTTCAGTTCATGAAAATAAACAAAAAAATAGTAACATTCAATAATAATCATAATCAATTCTAATTTGACTAATTTGACTAATTTAATATTTCTATTTAAAAGCTACAATGTTCATCAAATTATCTCATTTCTCAATTGAAAAAAATCCTTTTTCTACTTACATGAGATGGCCAAACAAGTCAATTTTTCAATGTTCTTCGAGATCATGGTGATGAATCCAATCAATAAATATGAATAATGAATATAACCAGCATTTTCACATGATTCACTAACTAGCAAATAAACAATGATGATGATCGAAAGCCATGTTCAACCAATTTTGCAGTAATACAGATTTTGTCATCATTTATCAATCGAAACATTATTGTTCAGAATGAGTCATTTATTAGTCATCGATGCTGATTTTGACTCATTTCTCAGTATTACGTTTTTTGTTATCACCAATATTTTCTGTTTGTTGTTTCTCAGTTGATATACATGTGCATGTACACACACACACACACACACACACACACACACATTTGTGAATCGATTTTAAGCCCTCGAAATGGATATGGTGGATATGATTCATTCATTCATTCATGGATTCATCTGAAATAAAATGATTTCGTCGCAACGCATAACATCATTTCCATAGATAGATGGATAGATGGATTGATTCTTTTTTCCTAGAATCCAACGAGTTTTCTTTTGCTTGCTTTCTTTCCGGCAAAAGTTGGCCCAATTTTTTGTTTGTTTGTCTGCTCTATTGCTAATGATGAGTTGTAAGGTTCTGATTTCATTTCATTCCTATTTATATATTATCGGTGAATGAAAAATTCACCACACTTGTTGCCCATCACCTAACTTTGACATTATGATCCGATGATCGAATTATGTAACATGGATTATTACATGTGTCCGGAATATATACATGTAATAAAAGTTTAATTAGTCCTTAGTCATTAGTCATTAGTCATTTGTCTCTCACGCACACAGAGAATGAATTCAAATGTCAAAATGTCAAAATTATTGACGAAACTCATAAATTGCATGTCAATTATGGACTCGAATTAACCGGAATTCAATAGAATGAAGAGAACGAATTACATAATCACATGTTCGCTAGCTAATCATATAGTAGCAGTATGATGATGATGTAATTTTGGGCAATAAACTTTCTTGTCCTTTTGATTTATATTTGTCAGGGTTTTATTGATTGGTACGTATGTTATTGTGTTATATAACCGATAACCGATTCTCAGTTTTATGTTCGGGATCAAAATACTGACTACAGTACACACACACACACACACACACATAACATACAAACACAAAAATTGATGATCCAAAAAATAAAAGAAAACAGATTTGAAAAAACGCATGCGTTACGACCTATTCAACCAACTAACAGATCAACGAATCCGAAATGTACCGTTTGTGCGAGTGTTCATTTTTCCATTCGAATACTCTATGTGTGTCTGAAACATGCTGGCCAAGTTCTTTCTTCTTTTCATTGTTCCATAACCGGTTGTTGCGTTATCATGTTGTAAATTGAAAAATTTCGAACAAATAGTAACATTCTCTACTGTCTGGATCAATGTTTCTGTTGTGTTGGTTTGTTTGTTGCCTTTTGAAAATGATTATTCCTATAGAATGAATGAGAGTGATGATGAGAGAGTTACCTTACAAATTATTAGTCGACTTTGGCATTCAGGTTTTTTACGGTTCAATTTGATTCTCTATTCAATTTTTACTTCTTTTTTAATCATCGCTAATTCCAAATTCATAGTCACGAACAAAAGAATAATGATAATGAATTACTTTCTAACAAAACATTCAACTAGGCCTATCATATCGCCTTCTTTATTCACCATGTTTCACTGAGTTTGATTTGAATTTTTGTTTCGCTTTTTTCTCTTTTTAGAATCAAAAACAAGATTAAACACATAACATCATAGATGATTGTGGCCTGGTTCCAGAATTATTCATCCAAGCAAAAAATTGAACCAAACATTGAATGATCGAGATTCGTCGTTGACAACAAAAACAATTTTTCAAACTAAACAAAACAAAAAACAAAAGAAAAGAAAAGAAAAGAAAAGAAAAAATATGCCCGAACAAAGCAATGATTATCGTGTGGTTGTATTTGGCGCCGGTGGTGTTGGCAAATCAAGCCTTGTGTTACGGTTTGTGAAAGGTAAATATTTGCTTGTTAGTTGAATTGAATTTATGAATGGAAATCCATTAATTATTGAAAGGAACATTCCGTGATGCCTACATACCAACCATTGAAGATACATATCGTCAAGTGATATCGTGTAACAAGAACGTATGCACACTACAAATAACCGATACGACCGGTTCACATCAATTTCCCGCTATGCAACGTTTGAACATAACCAAAGGACATGCATTCATGCTTGTCTTTAGTGTTACATCCAAACAAAGTCTAGAGGAATTGAACCATATCTATCGAGAAATATTCGACACCAAACAAAATGATAATGACACAATACCATTAATTTTGGTAGGCAATAAATGTGATGAAGAAGGTCAACGAGAAGTGACCGCCGATTATGCTCAAGAATATTGTTCCAAAATATTAAAAGGATGTGGTTATATTGAAACTTCGGCTAAAACTGGCCATAATGTACACGAAGCGTTTCAGGTATTTCAATTACTAGTTACTAATCACTAATCACTAATTACTAATTACTTATCACTAATCATTCAATTTGATTTCACCTCCAACAATCATCATAGGAATTACTATCGATGGATAAAACAAGAAACATGTCGTTAAGAATGGATCTAAAAAAGACTAGGTCTCAGATACGAAAGGAAAAACTTAAAGGCCATTGCATAATGATGTGAATGGCAACATTTGTGAGAAGAAAACGAAAAATTGTGATCATTATCATCATCATACTCAGTCATCCAGTCATCATTGTTCAATTGATCATCAAAGGTATGATTACCTTTATATTGTATGCAACACAATCACCAAGTAACAAAACTCATTCTTCCACTCCATTCATTTGTAGATTTTTGACACATCAAACAAATTATATTTCAGTTTTGTACAGTTTTCTTGGTTCCTTCAATCAATGGATATGGAAATGGGTTTTTTTGCTGTCGAATCATCATGTTTCACACTCCCACACACAAACACATTCTCTCTCTCTCTCTCTCTCTCTCTCTGTCTGTCTCTGTCTCTCAAACAAATATGGAATGACGATGGATCCAAGATCATCATGTTTGATTTTGTTTCAATTTTCTTTTCTACTATTTTGCTTTGTACGATTTCGACTACTCAAATGCAAAAAACCATAGATCAAGCATACATAGCCATAACCAATGCAAGAGAGTGGTGGTTATTATTTAATATTTTTCTTTTGTTCATCATCGCCATTTCATGACGAGTGCACACACACGGCTGGCCTACCTGTGTGTAATACTCATCATATGTGGTTCCGGTTAATTCAGTTTTTCCAAGTCATTTTCTATTCAAACGAGTGACAAGTCATCGATAGTGGAATTTATCTTTTTCACTTTGTTTTTAATCTATCATCAGCCATTTTGTATTTGTCAATTTGATTAGGTCAATTTAATGAATCAACGATGAATGAATCAGACTTGAATTCATATTGGTGCTCCATTTTCATTCGAATTTTCAATAGATTCATCATCATAACATAACATAGACATTGTTTCACTAATTAATTTCATCATCAATTTCAATTAGTGGCTAATCGACAACATTGATGACCAAATCAGGAAACAATTCCATTTCATTCAAATAAACAACAAAGACCAAGTTTCGAGAAAATGATCGAACAAATTCATTGCAATTGTTTTTCATCATCATCAATCATCAATCATTTTAATTGGCTGAAACATGAAGAAAAGACAAACGTTTTTTCATTAACATTGTTTTCCATACATTTTATGTTTGTTGAATTTGTGCTTCACTGTTAAATTTTTATTTCGTTCATTTCTCCATTCATTGATGGCCACATCAATTATAAACTATCATCAACACAATTTTCTAGTTGCCATGACATGATACATCAGTTGCATCAGTTACATCAGTTACATATTTATGGACAATGAAAAATAACATTTATTACACTAACAGCCCCACTGTACACAATGAAATAATGCTCTACCGCAGAGATATATCTGTCTGTTTGTTAAATGTTTTCCATAATTTCAGATTTTATTCTATTTTCATCATCATCATCATCACTTTGTTGTAATGTCGTACAATGAAAGAAATAAAAGAAAAAAAAAGTTAAACGAAAAATTCAGTGTAAAATTCATCGATCAATGAATCGTAATTTTATCGGACGATCCGGTAAATTGATGAGTCGTGTTCGTTGTCCAATATCATAATGTGGACAACATTCCAGCCGAAATTGGTGAACAATATTGGCCAACAAAATGTATAGCTCAAGTTCGGCAATACGACGACCTAGACACATTCGTGTACCATGTCCAAACGGTATGTATAGATAACGATGGTGACGACTACGAGTTGATCCGATCCAACGATCTGGATCATAATCATTCGGCCGTGGATAATATGCCGCTTGACGGCATGCAACCTGATTCTGTGTTATAATCATCGTATCTTTTGGCACATGATAACCACCAATTATCATATCATTCGTCGCTAAACGTCCAACACCAATCGATATGGGTCGCAATCGTAGTGTTTCTTTCACGCATGCTTTCAACAATGGTGTATGGTTGAAATGTTGGGCTGAAATGAAAAGCCATTCAATTCAAATGAAATGGAATCAATTGCAATCATTCATTCAATCATCAATCATTTACCTTTAAAAAAGCCATCACTGCCTAAAACTTGATCAACTTCTTGAAATAATCGTTGTTGAAGGTTTGGATTTTTAGCCAAAAAATACAATGTAAAACCAGCTGTAATGGATGTTGTATCGATACCGGCGAAAACAAAATCCATTACGATTCCAAACAGATCTTTTCGTGTGATTTTTGGATCACGAATCAATTGGCCAACAATTGTTGTTGTTGTTGTTTTGCCTCCATTTCCGTCCAATTCTATCTGTTCGATTCGTTTGTTGAGATATTTTTCCACAACTTTGGCCATTAGATCTTGTCCTTCGACTAAACATTGATAATCTTTTGTAGCTCGTGATTGCCAACCATCATATAATTCGGTTCTCATTACAGCATACAGTGTTTTATGACCACCTTCAATCATGTTAGCGCCATCTTGATTGTTCCGATCTAAACATCCAATGCGAGCATCCAACATGATCGAACAAATACTTTCCAATGACCAACGATAAAGAAATTGTTGAAAATCATCGTCCAAATGGCCGGTTGATTCATCTCGTTCATATCGTATAGAGAGGATTAAGTCGCTAACAATTTCATTCAATTGTCGATCATAAACATGAATACAATTGGGACGAAGAAAATAATGTTTGAACAGATCACGTAAACGTTTCCATTCATCACCATTCTCGGGGAATATACCACCAGATTGATATCTGTCCGATCGTTCATGGCGATATTTGATCAATGCTCGATGACTACGACGATATGGATATTGTTGTTGTCGAAACATTGATTCCATATGATCTGGATCAAATAAATGTACAATCTTATGCTTTGCAGTGATCTCTTCACGTACAATTGTGCCATAATGTGTTAGATTATAATGACCATTTTCATACAAACGTTCAAGACTATATTGACCAATTATCGGTAGATATCGCCATAGATTACCTATTAATGGCAATGCTTTAGGACCGGGTATCTCTTTGAATGATTTCACTTGTTCTCGACCATCATCGATCACATTTGTAGTCGATGATAACGTCGATGATGATAATGACCCGAAACGACATTTTGAACCGAATCGTATTGAGATTTTCATTCTTATTCAAATTCCAGTAATCATAAGACAAAGTCGCACCAACAATGTGATCACATCATCATTATCAACGAGCTAAGAAACAAAAACTTGTTGAGAACACTAGACACACGCAAACACCATATTATATCCTCTGTTCAGTTTTGGAGAACAAAACAACAATAAAGCAAACCACCAGCTGGGTTTAGTTTTCAAAACATTCATGCTTCCAGCCAATCACTGGTTCATTCCAGTTTACAACACAGGTTGATGTTTATTTTTCATCATGAATCGAATATACAAAAAATGAACAAAACCAGCAAAACAAAAATATAAATCATTTATCATTTATTTACGATTAGTCGATGGACGGTCCTTTTTCTGCGCAAAATGTATCATGCATCACGTGTTCATTGTGATTTATGTGTAGAGTCAAGGTCAAGTAGAGAAAAAACAAGAAAAATTAAGATTGATAAATTGAAATGAATTGAAAGAGAAAACAACTCACATGATTATTGTTACCAGTGGCTAGTATATCGATTTTGATATGCACTAGAATGGCAGCCATTTCTAATTCTTCCGAGTGTTCATTTTTCAATCGCATACAGCGAAAACCTTGTCGAATGGCCATCAATGGATAGGTTCCATGACCAATTTGTGTGGGCTCACCAAATACATCCTCATCACATACGATGAATCGTATGAAAGCTAATTGTGGACAACGAACAGACAAGACAAACGATTGATTCCAATATGGATTCAAGCCATTATCATCTGTTTTGTAATGGAAATAAAGTCATCATCATCAATTCATCATATATCATATATGTAATCAACAATGACAACTTACTTATGGTGACTGTTTTGCATTTAGTTGAATCATATTCAGTGCCGATAATCTCCACTTCAACAAATGGACTTATAACACCACCACGACCACGAGATTTCGTTAGATGACGACCACAGATCACACGAACGGCCACGATCCATGTATCGACAGCTAATTTTGCCAGACAATTTGGATCATATGGAGTGAATGTCGGATCAAACATGAATTGCGGCCGTAGAATATAACCACATGCACCGTTCATTAATTGAAATTTTGCCTGATTCAATTGCATTGCACGATCTGGTGTCTGATAGTTAAGGGCGGCCAATTGTACGGAACAATTCCATAACTTGATTGGATCATAATTCGATGAATCAATACGGCTACCTTTTGGATAAACACGTGTAAATTGATTTATATTATAACCGATAAGCAATTTGCACATGTTTGTTGCTAGCCATTTTTCAATTTTCGTTTCCGATAATGAACTCATTTCGGTGCAATTTCCCATACGTTCAGGCACAAATGGCACAGCTCGACAATATATGATCAAATCGGATAATTCATGAGCAATACGGAAATTTTTCTCAATCACATAATCATTCGATCTACGTTTCATTATCAGGTCATCGGTGGTAGCCGAAGAAGCTTCTTGTAATTTTACAATCCAATCTTGTAATTCCTCTCGACTATCACTACCGATTCGGAGATATGGGAGCTGATTTCTGGTGGACGATCGACAAAAATCGATTTGAAAAGCATTTGAAATCGTTGTTGATCTAATCATTGTTATAGTTGCACCGGTCATGTTTACTGATCCTTTTGTCATCAGTTGTGGTTGTTGTTGTTGTTGTTGTAGCTGATCATTACCATTATTATCATGGTGAGTTATTGATATATCACCACCACCACCATCATCATAATTAGAACATTGAATAATTTCCTGTACGAAATTGGCCGGAAACCAATGCTGTTTTTTGCCACCATAGTCACCACGCCACCAACCACTTTCATGTTTAACGACATTGGTTATGATTGCATGTTTACAAAACGATAATTCATCAAATCGTTGGGCTCGATAATCATAAAGAGCTTTGACCATAAATGAGCGATTTTGAATGTCATCACGAGGAATGGTTGTTTGGAATGTATCCAAATAGCCAATGTCCGTTTCACAGGGTTCATGACCGATTTTGGTCACAATCTCCGGATTGATTGCTTTTCTCAACATCGTATTCTTATACAACGGTGTTCGATGATAATAGGCAATCAAATGGTTAAGTGTTTCGAATTTCTTCTGATGAATAACAAATAATCGACCTTCACGACGTATACGACAATGTTTGATTTTACCTTCAGCACGAAACGATATGGAAAAACATCGATCTTCTTGTTCACTGCGACGTACAAGAAATGCACCATCAAACCATACACGACGTAAGAGATCTTCAGCACGATCTTTACAAACTTGTGGATTAAACCATTCTTTGTCATCACAGTAAATGCAAGGCGGGACAGGTTCCGATAACAGTACGGTCATTTCTGGCGATTTCAATGGATTCGATTGATAATAAGTGACCAGATAGTAGAGTGTTTCAAACATGACCGAATCGATAAGATAATATTTAACTTTTCCTTGTGCAAAACGTTTCTCTTTGATACGACAATGATGCACTTTGCCATTATACCATAACGATAGTGTATAATCACCGATAAAAGTGCTGGAATCACGCACTAAAAATAATCCGTCCACTTTAGCCGGAATATCATGGATTAATTGTTCAGCCTGTTGACGGCCACCAGGTAAACGGCCATGGAACCATGGTTCATCAAAATGTAATTCATCCACAGAGAATGATTTCATTTTGGCCACCGTGAGTTGTACAGCATAACCATGATTATTTTGACCACTGAATGCGGCTAAATAATCGTAATGTTCATGATGATCTTTACGCAGTAATGGTTGCTCATCATCGTCATCATCATCATCGCCAAAATTCAAATCAATCAGATTTCCAGTGGTAACGTGATCACTACTATTCATTGGATTCTCTTCGAAATAATGTAGCACATTTGTCTGTGTAAGCATCAAATAGAATGGTCGCCATTCTTTTGTTTCATCAGCTAGACCGTCACATTCCAGATAAATTCGACCACTTTTGATTGAATTTGCCGGATCGAAATCGATATTTTCGGTGACAGTTTCAATGGTATCCTGATTTGAAACTGTTGATTCTGGCAATTTTTTATGTTTAATAATAATCTTTCGTTTCAATTGATTCGGTGAGGGCATTTCACGGTCATTTTTGTCCAATGGTTTCGAAAGCAGATTATGGCCGAATATCTCGCAAAAAATATTGGCCATATAACGTTGCTGTGGCAATGAACAATGATTTTCCACCGATAATATGATTGGATATTCATTCGTGATGAATGCATGTTCATTGATGGTCCGTATCACATCAATGAAATTGATTTTCGATGTCAATGTATGGCCATGATATATCACAGGTTTACCATCGGGACCATCCCAACAATCGACTTGAAAGAAATTTATAATTTGTTTCAGTCAACAAATTGAAGAAATGCAAGATACTCACTTTCAATACATCGACAACCCATGCGTAATGCACGAGCATAACAATCAACCGAACTTTCTGATCGTACTTGATCACCAGTAAGATATGTATTGTGTGATGATGCTATCCAATAATGCGTCAATGGCCGATCCATGTCATTAGTGACAGTTGAATTTGTTTGTTGTTCCCATAATTCATTTGTTTTGCAGAATAGAAAACTAATGAATTCTTGTGCATTCAGATATGGTGGTTGGATTTGCAAACGTGAATTGTTTGCATAGAAATATGACCGCAATAATCTGGTAATCAATGATGGACATAGGTTCTCATTATCATTATCATTGTGAGCATCGGATGAAGAGGCACTATTCTCGTGTTGCTCATCCATTAAAAACCGATATAGATTACGATCGGTGATTCGTGAATCAATTAAATCTACATCTTTCTGTGTCTCGTCATCATGGTCAAAATAATCGAGAAACAATTCGACCAGGATTCTATCATCGAATAATAAACGTTCATAGAATGCCTGACGAAATTTTCGCCACGATAATGACCCTGATCGATTGATATCCAGTTCAAGGAAGAATTTCTTCAACTGTTGTGTCGATATTTTATAGCTATTTCGATGTAGAAATGATTTCAGATCTTTCATTTTGATTTCATCACATGATGTTAGATCACCGTCAACATTACTGATCTCTTTACGTAGCCAGACATCCATCTGTTGTTCATGTGGAGCGTTCAATGAATCTTGCGTCAAAAATCGAAGGCCACGAATCCATTGTTCACATTCGGTCGATGATGATGCAGCACATGTTAATGTTTTCAGATTGAAGCCAGCTCCATAATAAACGATAAAACATTGATTTCGTTCCCATTTCCTTACCAGATCAGTACCAGCATCGTTTATGAAGATGCCATTTGTTGTTGTATCAAGAATCCATTGATCCATATCAGATGTTTTTCCTAGACCAAGTCGAATTTCTTTAATTTCTCGAAGGTCTAAAATTCCTCGAATCATGGACGATGGACCATTTTGATTGGATGCCAAAGCAAACCACATCAACTGACGTGTATCCAACCGTACACGGAAATATTTTCGCTCAATTTTGGGACATTTACGCTTGAAATGTGTCAATGTTGCTCCCTGTTCTAGACGATGAATGATATGTTCCAATTCTTTATTCACATTGCCATTCTTGCTATTCAAAATCGTTGGATTCATTTGGAATTTATTCGAATCTGATTCGTTGGTTGTCATTTTTCGATCGGTGGCGAGAGAATTTTCGATTTCGAATATGATTTGATATGATGTGAAATAGAATATTATTAATAGTCATTCATTTGATATGTTGTAGTTGAATACTGAATTTACACATTTACATTAGGAAGAATACAATATACAACTATTATGATTATGATTATGATGATGATGATTAAGGCACACAAACATCATCAGATCAGATATGTTCATTCTTCGAAAAAAACAAAATACAAAATACAAATTGACAGTAAATGGAAAATGGATAAATATTCTCGAACGTTTTTTATGAACGGTTGAGACGAAGCAATATTATTGTGACTCAATTTTATTTGCTACTACTAATACACGAATACACTAATACACTCGTAGAGGGTTGAAATGGATAGCGGCAAACATGGATGGATATGATCATCATAGGTATGTGTTGTGAGTGATAGAATTCCTTTCAGCTTGACGATTACTATGTATTTTGGCCTGTCTAATGAAATAATCATTTTGTCTCATTTCATTTCATCTATTTTCTCCGATGTCGTTGTGTCACTAATCTAATCAATTTACTCATCTTACACAAAGTTGGATCATCGAGTGACTTTGACCATGACCATTTATGAAAATGGTGTGATGATGATAACCATTGATAGTTGGAGTGATTAAATTTTGGTGAGTTAAATTCGACAATTCTTACCTATCAGAAAACGATAGTCTTGTCTTAAAAGAATGAATTAGAATTATTACCTTGTTACCAACGTTTTCATGAAAAACATTGATTTCTTGACAACGTTCTGTGTGTTGTGGCGTGGGCGTTTATTTTGAATTTATTATTATTATTATTATTATTATTATTTATTTTTATTTTTATTGTTTGTTCTGATTAACATTCTGTTTTTTGTCTGTTTGTCCATTACAGAGAAAGCAATTAAACTGTTTGAATCGCCGCCACCATCATCCATATACATCATCGTTGTCATTTTATTTAATTTTTTTGTTTGTTTTTACTTAATTTAATTTAATATTAATATTAATATATTGATATTGATTGATATATTGGAAATTTGACGATCCAAAGAAAATAAAGTCATCATTTCACCGAAAACAAAATTATCATCGATATCGAAGAAGAAATTATGCCGAATTTAATGAATAAAAATAACGATCATACGAATCAACAACAATCATCGTCATCATCACCACCGGCTACATTGTATATTGTTGATGGTGAATCATCATCGAGTCATCATAACAATAGACAATTAATGCATAGTGATACGACCGAAACAACATTTGATCCATCATCGCCATCATCATCAACCCTAACTAATATATTGAATAATAATAATAATAACAACCAACTTAATCGACGAATTAATCAACAACAATCAAGTTCAACCAGTGGTGGTGGTGGTGGTGGTGGATATCAACAATTTGATCTATCCATTGATCATTTTCAGATTATTGATCCTAAAGGTAAATTTTGCTTTAGGCTGCTCAATTTTTTCATTCGATTCATTCAATCAGTGTGGGTGTAATTTTATGTTTGGATTTTATTGTTGATGTTTGCACCCGAATACACACACATTACCTACGTGTGTTATTTTTGAAATTTTTTTCTGTTCATTTTCTTATTTCACCTGAAATCAGTTGTTGTCGTTTTCAGTTCTGCTCATATTTCAAATACTGTATGTGTTTACGTGTTTATGTTTGTCTTCATAAAAAGTGAGAGAATACATGTCCTGTTTTTCCCTTCTTCATCTTATCCATCTCATTGCTCTTTTTTTTCAGCAAGTTTCTGAGCATCAGTAAAAAAATAAGAGATCGTCGTGCAACAGAAAGCGTGGCGTCAAATTTTTTTAATTTTAAGCACATAATGTGAAAAAATCGATGTTATGATTGATCCAAACAAATAAACCACAAAGAACAACTCCCACTTTTTTGTTGAAGAAATTGACCGGAATGATGAGCCAAAAAAATCATACAAATCTTGTTGATACAACAGAAACTATGATAACAAATAATAGTGATGATATGAATAAGAATAATGTGCCAAAAATTCATCCAAATCTACCGCCACCACCATCATCATCATTATCATTAGCGACAATTTCCCAACATTCATTCAGGAACAATATGAATGAAACTGGAGATGTTCAAGTTGGAATATCGAAATTGAAATTCAGTTATGAAGCATTTGACAAACAAGACGACGATGTTGATGATGACGATGATGATGATGAAATAATAATCGATAATAATGGAAAAGTGATGTTTTGTCATGAAAATGAATGTTTTCTAGTCCCGTCCAATACAACAGCAGTGATTCCCAATCTGAACGAAGCAAATGTTTCATCCATTCAAACCAATCATGCATCATCATCATCAACATCTCTTTTAGATGATGACATGGGTGGTGGTGGTGGTGGTAATGGTGGTCTTTATCATCATCAAAATTATTCAACATATAAACATGGCAAAAAGCTGTATAAACAATTTGACATATCCACTATATCGTCACCAACAACTGGAGATTTGTTTGCAGGTGTGTGAGTGAATGTGTGTTTGTGGTGTATGAATGTGACATATTGCTTTATTGAATTCATCATTCGCCACTATATCTGAAAGCGCAATTTTTCATCTTTTTGATTGTTGAATTTGTTCTCGAAGATTAATGTTTTGACTTTTTTCCTTTTCTTTTAGATATCGATGACAATGCCGTATCATCACATTATGAGGATTTTCAAACAATCGATTGGCAACGTGACATTGCCCGTGATCGTAATCGCCATCGTTACATTGTCCGTGCGAAAGATAATTCTTATTGTTCATTATTGAAATCAACACACGATGCATGGGCTGGTTGGCTTTGTGTATTAATGGTGGGAATCTTATCTGGTTTTGTTGCCGGCATCATTGATATTGGTGCCGGTTGGATGAAAGATCTCAAAGATGGCCTTTGTCCCGATGTTTTCTATTTGAATCGTGAACAATGTTGCTGGTCGGATAATAGTTCGGAATTTGAAGGTATTTTGTAAATGCAAGAAACTTTTCATTTTTTGATCGCTCGTTTCTTATGTACAGATAGTATATGGAGTGGTCATTGTGATCAATGGAAAACATGGCCAGAATTATTGGGACTTAGTCAACAACATTTTCCCATATTCAGCTATATTGTGTCGTATTTTTTCTACGTTTTTTGGGCATTATTTTTCTCATTCTTGGCCACCAGTTTCGTTCGTACATTTGCTCCGTATGCATGTGGTTCTGGTATACCGGAAATCAAAACAATATTGTCTGGTTTCATCATACACGGTTATCTTGGCAGTTGGACATTGACAGTCAAATCGATCGGCATGATGTTGACGGTTGCGGCTGGTTTATCGCTTGGAAAAGAAGGACCGCTTGTGCATTGTAGTTGTTGTATCGGTAATATAATATCCAGATTTTTCGATAAATATGGCAAAAATGAAGCGAAAAAGCGTGAAATACTTTCTGCTGCATCAGCCGCTGGTGTATCGGTTGCATTCGGTGCTCCTATCGGTGGTGTATTGTTTTCGCTTGAAGAAGTCAGTTATTACTTCCCATTGAAAACATTATGGAGAAGTTTTTTCTGTGCATTGGTTGCCGCATTCGTTTTACGGCTAATCAATCCATTTCGTAAGTCATGTCTAAGTGTTGCTGTTGTAGTAATTGTCAATTGATATTCATAGGAAATGAACATTTGGTCATGTTCTATATTGATTATGCAAGACCATGGATATTTTTCGAACTAATCGTATTCGTCATGTTGGGTGTGATTGGTGGCGTCATTGGCAATATATTCATCAAATCCAATCTAAAGTGGTGCCAACGACGAAAATATACTCGTCTGGGACAATATCCAATGTGGGAAGTGATGACCGTCACATTGATCACGGCAATGATTGCTTATCCCAATCCATATACACGTATGAATTCCTCGGATTTGATTAAATTATTATTCAGTTCATGTGGTATTGCCGATGAAACTCCTTTATGCGATTATTATCGTAATTATACCAATGTTAATCAACATGCCCAAATCGCCCAGGCTGGACCCGGCGTTTATACATCGGTCGCCCAATTATTTGCCGCATTGATTTTCAAACTCATCATTACGATATTTACGTTTGGTATAAAAGTTCCGGCCGGTCTATTCATTCCTTCATTGGCTATGGGCGCCATCATTGGTCGTATCGTTGGCATTACAATGGAACAGATTGCCTATAATTATCCCAAGTGGTGGTTCTTTCAGGATGCTTGTTCCAATCTGGGTGAAAGTTGTATGAGTCCAGGTAATAATCAGATCAGGCAAAATTTAGTCACTTGATTGAATGTTTTTGTTTTTTGTCTTCTCTCAATTCGAAAGGTTTATACGCAGTGGTTGGCGCTGCTGCCGTATTGGGTGGTGTAACGCGAATGACCGTTTCATTAGTGGTGATAATGTTCGAATTGACTGGAAATGTCAATTTTATCGTGCCATTGATGGCGGCTATAATGACTTCGAAATGGGTTGGTGATGCATTGGGCAAGCAAGGTGTTTATGATGCACATATCAGTTTGAATGGTTATCCATTCCTGGATAATAAAGAAGAATTTCCCTACACCACAACGGCATTGGATTCAATGCGACCTAAGCTAGGTGATCTACCATTAGCCGTGTTGACTGAAGATACAACCACTGTTGGTCAAGTATATCAATTATTACGATCCAACAATCATACCGGCTTTCCTGTGGTCGTATCCGAACAAAATAAGTACCTGGTCGGTTTCGTTACACGTCACGATCTGAATGTTGCATTGAATCAAGCCCGTAAAAATGAACAAGTATTCGAGGATTCCATTGTTTATTTTCGTAATTTTACGGCCGATGAAGAGACACGTTTCAAACAATATCGTCATGATGTTCGTTCTTCTCAATCATCTTCATTGGCACCATTAAATTTTCGACGAATTCTCGATCTAGCACCAATCACCGTTACAGATCAAACACCAATGGAAACAATTATCGATATGTTCCGCAAACTTGGCCTACGACAAGTTTTAGTCACACATAATGGGTAAGTTTTCTTTGCTTTCTTTTTTCCATTTACGATTGGCTAATTTGTTCATGTTTTTTTCCATTCAATTAGCATCCTTTTGGGCATCATAACCAAAAAAGATATACTTTTACATATTAAAGAATGTGAAGATATTCGTAAGCTGGAAAATATATCATCATCAAAAGGCTTGACATCGTTTCTAAGATGATTGTCATTTTAAACAATCCGATTTTATCAATCCCTTGTTATTTATTCACTGTTTGTTTATTTGTTTCCAATCAATTTTCTTTCTCATGATTTCATCAATGTTTGATCATTTGGATGGTAAAATTGTTGAACGTCGAAAAAAAATGATTTTATTCGAAAAAGAATTATTAAATGAAAATGAATAATGAATAATATCCAAAAGTCATAGAAAAAATGAAATTTGAAATTTGTCTTTTCCCTCTTTATCCAATGATTGTAGGAGAGATGGCGATAAATCAATAATTGGCAATATGAGAAATGAGAAAATTTTGTTTGAAAAAATAGAGACAAATCCAATCTCATATCAAACATTTAATGGCCACAGCAAAAGAATGAACAAAATATTGATTGACCGTCATCATCCTCGACATGGCCATGATGAGCAATGTTTGCTGCTGGTATGGTCATTGTTTTGATTGATCCAGATCTAGTTGTCATAATGGCCATTGTTGATCCGTTTTTTGGTGCCACTTTATTTGGACATTTTATCTGTTGGTGATAATTCTGAAGATCAAGATGATGATGATGGTGGTGGTGGTGATGATGATGATCATAGACATGATGATCATCGTCAAATTCATCATCATCGTCGACGTCATCATCATCTTGTACGGTTGATTCATATCCACTTGATGCTGGTTGTCGTTGTACGACAAGGCCAACATTGCCAACAACAACACCTCCGCCATTTGATCCATAGCTGGGTGTGGAAACGGAGGATGTTTTCTTGGCAATGGATGAACATTCGCCTTCACTTATTGTTCCATGTCCACTAGTCGTAGTGGATGTTGTATTACGTTTCATTTTCTGTTCCATTTGCTGCTGTTTTGTCTGCTGTTGTTTCGGTTGTGATGAAATGGAATTTTTTCGTTCCATGCTACCCGTTTGTGATGGATCGGTGGCATTATTCGCTTCATTCATGGTTACAGTATCCATCATATCGCTGGTTTTATTTCCACGTTTTAAATGTTCAACAATTTCAGTCATACCATACGATTTTAATGATGATGAAGATGGTCGTGATTGTTGTTTTTGTTGTGGTGGCGCTGGTTGCTGCTGCTGTTGGGAGTGTAATTGAGATTGGCAGCTATCAATTAATTCTGATTTTCGATTACAATTTGTTTGCGAATGGTGATGATGTTGTTGATCTTTCGATGACGATGATGATGACGATACGGTTATTTTAGACAATTGTTGTAGGAATTGTTCTAATTTCAATTGTTTAGGCGGTTCTGCCATACGATTAAGCATCGTCGATGCTGATGATGATGTTGGTTGTGGTTCGCCGCAAACATTCGACATATCAATCGATTTATTATTATGAATAGCATCGCCATCATCACCATTACTATGATGATGATGGTGATTATGATCAATGTGATTAATGTTCAGCGACATTTCATTGCAACAATTCGACTGCTCATGTTTTCGATACGAATGACGTAGTGGTTTTTTTGGTCGTCCATTTTTGGGACTTAATTTCCACAGGTTATAGTATTCCTCATAGAAATCACTTTTTTTATCACCACAATCACTCAGCGTATCGCGACATTCATCATCGATTTGTTGATTACATTGTGCAAAACAATTATCATCCAAACATTTGAATCCCTGAAAGAGTATATCGATTATCGATTAATCAACAATAGTTCATCCTCAAAATGGCACTTACCATATCGAGCATACGTTTCGAGCCATTAGCACCGTTTAGATTGCAAGTTGTCGAAATCCATTGTTCGATACGATATTTTTCTTTTCATTCAAACTATGTGAACATTGTTGTTGATTCAATTTTGTTAGATTTGGTCCATCAACCCAAAGCTCTTCACTCCATGTGGAACCATTTGGTTCATTCATTAGTGAACGTTTACGATTACGAATACGTTTGGCTAATTGTTTATGGTGTTTATGGTGATTATGGTGATGATAGTGATGTTGATCATCATTGCAATCATCATTACTCTCATCACAATTTCGTTTTGATTGTTTAATCATCATGCGTAATGATTCACGGCTACTGCTAGAATTTTTCGTTGACTTTGGTCTGATTGGATTACGTTTGGATTGTGAATGATGATGATGGTGATTACAACATCTATAATCACATTTTCTTTGTCGATGTTGTTGTTGTTGTTGTTGTTGTCGGTATTTATTTTTTTCCAATAAATTTCCATTCAAATTACGACATCGATCGCCATTTTGGCTTTCGTCCATTTCATCAATTTGTTGGCCAACCTCAGCACCATTGATTGATTGTGGACAATTGGCTGTGAATGATGATGAGCGTTGATCATGATGATCGCGAGAAATGACCGTATCGAATGATTGTTCGGATGATGATGCACAGCTCTGATCGACATCTTTGGATGCTGACAAATGATGAATAGAATATACAGAATATGTCAGCATCATATTTTTATTTTTATTGTTTAAAATTCTATCAGAAACGCATACTAACCATTTGATGATTTACATGTACATAATTTACATGAGGATTGTTTCGATTGTTGCTGATGATGATGGTTACCATTCAATTTCATAAGCCATTTTTTGGTCGATATCGATGCAATTAGATCGCATCGTTCCAACATTGTTTCTGGTCGGTGGCAATGTGGTTTCAGATTCGCCAATATGGTTAGACTGATTTGGTCTTTAGTGTTTTTTGATTTATGATCATTATTCGACAATGCTCGCATGAATAGATTGGCAATTTTAGATTTACTGAATGAAATTCATTGCAAAATATTTTTTAATTAAATTAAATTAGTTTTTCCATTACAAAAACAAAACTCTCACCTGAATGGAGCTAAATTTTGCTGCGCAAACAATGCAGCCATTATCAGATGTAATTGGGATGTAGATGATGAACATGATGATGGGGGTACATCGATCAGATAAAGTTTGCTGTGATTTTCGATTGCTGAATAGGTCAGAATTTTGAACAAAAAAAAAAAAAAATGAGAAAAAACCATTGGAAATTAGTCATTAGTCATTGATTTTGTTTTTATTGTCAAAGTTTAACTTTTTCAATTTTGTTCACAGTGTTTGCAGTTGCAGACCATCTCAATGTTTTGTGTTTTTTCTTGTGAAACGTTTAATTCTTTTTGTTTTGTTTGATTCTCATCGGCAATCATTCATTTTTTTTTTGCATTCACTAACTTGTGTCTATAAACCAATTCCTTGGGGATTTTGATTCTTTTTTTTTTCACTTGAACATCGACGGAATAAAGAAGAGAAAAATTTGATGTTGTGTTTGTGTTTGTGGGTTGTCAAACTCATACAAAATGAAAGCTTGAAAAAAATAAGCCAACAGTTTATTATCATCGAAAACAAACCGACAATCATCTGAAATCTATCTATCTCTTTATGACGCTAAGCATTTGTGAGTAACTGCAATTTTTACACCCGCTTCTAAAGAAACGCATTTTGTGGTATGTAGATTTGACAATTTGACAAAGTTTTTTTTTGATTGTTCTAGCTCAGCACACGTTGCTGCAGCTTTTGCATCCAATAGATGGTGCAGTCATTCAATAGAACATAGAAAGAATTCGAATTCGAATTTTTCGAATTGATTATTGTGATAATACATGTGTCACACGTGATTTTCATTTTGTGTGCCTGTGTGAGTGTGTATTTGATGATGAAATCTTGCCTGAAGACTGCATTCATTGGAATGATTTTTTCTGTGTTTTTGTTCCCGTGATCTATGATTTACACATCGTTTGGTAAGTTATTTCGGTTATCGGTTATTTAACCTGATTATGCCTAAAATACCTGATAACTTTTTTCATTTAAAATAAAGAAAATGGAGCATTTACGATATGGCAGAATGCCACAGCGGTTGACGATTCAATGTTGAGTGTCTTCATGCGATAAACCCACAAGGTTGTATTTAGTAGCTAGAATGAAATTATACAAATGTACGGCATTCAATTAAACCGAAAAACAAACAAACCAAATTTGTTTTTGCCATCTTTGATTGGAATTGATGACAACGAAATCTTAGCATATCAATGTTGATTATTCATAGATATGGATCTGTTCTAATGTTGGAAAAACAAAAACAATTTCTTCGACAATAATGTTGTCCATTTTTCAATTGTCTAATGTTGAATGCTGGATGTGCCATGCCGGCTATTCTCTATTTCTCTGTTCAGCGTATATGAAAGTATAATTAAAACTAATTGAATTATTCTGATTATTATCGTCCCAATTTATTCCTAGCAAATTCAATTTTCCATGTTCTAGTTGTCCTTATCGACATGATTCGATGACATTCTAATCAATTCTATTTTAGCATCACTTTTATTTATTTTGTTTCTTTTGTTTCTCTGTTCTGTTCTGGTCAATTTTCTTGTTCATTCTGTTCACTCTGTTTGTCTGTTTATCTGTTTATTTATATCCTTGGAGAGATCAGACTCAGCTACACGATTGAAACGATCGAATAGATAAATTAGTCGAATCTAGAATAGGAAAAAGGAAGCACTGAAGCGATCGAGGACGTTGACCACGTTGATCAAGCCGGCATCGTTGGATAGATTTAGTTTGTTTTTTCTACTTGCCTATAGGATTTTATTCCATTTCCAAGATCTTTTTTCAACTGCTTCAACATTGATTATTAATTGCTCACATCTTTCCTCTGCGTTTGAGTGAGAATAAAATCCATCATCGAATAAAAGTGAATATAAGTTCCATAACTTTATCCATACACACACACACACACACACTATACATACTAGATCGTTGAGATTCGAAGCTCAAATAATACATTTGGATTGCTACAAACACGTTTCAACATCAATTTTATGTGTGTCTATGATATATACACTAAACAATAATAAACGTGACAGAATTGGCGCCTGATACTCGACATTACTGTACCATAACTGCATGGACAATGTATAATAATCAAATGTGTGTGTTTGTGTGTGAAGACAATTTGACAATGTGTCTCATTCATACTATTATGGTTATGGTTCCATCAGTGCCAACCAGCACACCCTGAAAGAGATTAAGAATAAAACATGAACGAATGAATGTAACAATTGTTCCCCTATATAGTCATGTTTCAAGTAAAGATTTCGATGATGATGATGATGATAATGACCAGAATCATTGATACTGATGAATGGAATTCTTGTGCTTTTTATTTCATTTTAGAATCGTTTTGTTCAAAATGACCTTACATTTGGATTTACTTTTCTTTTTCCATTTTCCTGTAGAATTCCGATTTTAGTGTATTTGAATGGATAGGAAAAAGTCATTTTCAATCCAATAGAGTTGGGCAAAATTTAAAATTTTCCTGTTTCACTCAATTCACTGATTTAAAATAAAGCAGTGAAAAAATTGTTTGAATAAGCCGAAAAAAGAAAATTCGATTCAAATGGATCGATTTTTTTTTCTCTCTCTCTCTCTCTCTTTGATCAAACTATTTATATGGAATCTGGTTAAAAGTAGGTGTAAATGAAGAATTCGGATCAGTATACACTGGGACCAACACAAGCACCAAGTCAAAGAATCACGAGTCGCTATCTTTAAACTTAGGGATGATATGTCTAAACGAATATTTATTACCGATTCTAATTCGAAACTCGTGTCGTTTTCGTTGTGTTTCACTTTTCGTACAACAAAAAAAGATCGTCTGTTTTGGGCCAATTGGCAAATAGAAAAAAATCTGGAATTTTTTTCAACCAAAACATAAACGAAAAAAGAAAATTGCCTTGCACAATATGCCACCAATTTTTAGACGTCGTTGTGAAAAATCATGGCCAACTGAAAATAAAAATAGAAAAATTGAACTAATTTATCTCTGTGCAAATTCCAAACAATCGGAAACCAAAACCAGAACGAGCAAGAAAACGAAAGCGAAGTGAAAAAATAATACGGGTGCCTGGTTAATGTTTTTGGTTGTTTTCAATGTTGTATCGACCTAGTCTTGAATGAAAATGAAGTATTTTCTGGATCTGAGAAACTGGATCTCAACTGATACTTTTCTTTTGTTGTCGTCAAAGTCAAGGCAAAGTAGAGCATAATCGAGGCACCACTGTACTGTAAAAATGATGCGGGCGTCAATGAACTCATTATAGTGATTGCACACACATTATTTACGGAAAGCCCGTCATGTCACACATGTATTTTTTGAAAGATTTTCACTCTCGTTCCGTTTCGTTTTCGGATAATATTCTTTCTCCACTACAATCGTGATGGTGATGATGAGGATAAGTTCGTTAAAAATGAAAGACATTGGTTGTACTTTGATGGAAAGAAAAAAAGAAATCTACAAAGTAATATGGCTTCTGCTGCTATGCTTGTTGCCGTTGTTCGATTTGGATCCAAATCCAGGCCTACCACACATCATCAACCAAACAATTCGGTTGATTATTGGTCATCTCTTACTCGTTAATTCAAATTTTTTGCTGAACAAAACAGTGATAAGAGTGAGTGAAGAAAAAAATGATTACGGGGGTGGATCTTTTCAGCGTTTGAATTAATTGATTCAATTAATTAGCCGTTCTGATCCATTGGCCTTCGAACGTTTGAATGTCTAGTAAAAGCAACAACAACAATAAAAAAATTCCTTTAGCTTCGAACATTGTCCAAGTGTTTGTGTGTGAGTATTTACTACACTTGAATCGAATGAATAATTGGTTTATGGCGAAACAAAAGAAAAGAAAGACGATCGAGAAAAATCGATTCGATACGGTTTATGACTTGAATACAAGCTTCACACACACACACACGAATGAAAATTGGTTTCGATGGGGTTTGTTATTGTTGGGTGGAAAGGGATAATCACTACTACATTCGATGCAAGCTAAATTTGGCCGTTCTCATCTAATGATTCCGTCGTCGGTTGTTGTTGTTATGTAATTCAATTTCAGCTGTCACATTCATTTACAAAATACTTTTGCCATTTCTTACTCGAAACGATTTCAGAACATAGCCATTTTCATTGTTAATGTTGGAATAAATAAATAAATTCCATCCAATACTTCAAGTTGTGTATTACATTGATCCATTATTCATTCGCCAATATAGTGTGTAGCTTAGGATTTTATATTATCATGCGAAATGAAGAATCTAATCCACTTTGAAAAAAAGCGAAAAGAGAGAGAGAAAGAAAATCATTGCCAATCCATGTTGGATGTGCAATAATGCTGCTGATGACGACTACCTCTAATCATAATGATGACGAAGACGGCGACGAATAAGTGTTTTGGTACGTGTTGCCCATTTATCTAATTTTTTCTGTTTGTGTGTCATATCTAAAAAAATAATCAAATCTTGCTGGTAGTAGGTATATGAAACGCATATTGGCATGAAAGTGACATTGTTTTGATTATGAATGAATGACATACCTTGACATTTTTTCCTCGAATTTGCCAATGGCACAAATTGATAACGATATAAATGTATGGTAAATACGAATAAATGTTCATTTCGTTGTCCATTAGGATGGTTCAAATGGATTTGCTCTAGAAAAGCAAGTGCACGTTCCAAATGATTGGCTGCTTGTCTGGCATTGACACATTCATATTCGATTTCATGATCAACAGCAACCAATGTGGATTGAGATGGCGATGATGAACGATTATTGGCGATTAGATCATAGATTTTATGGTGAAACAAAGCCGAAGCAGATAATTGTATGTAGGCACGATTGTGATTGATGCCTGAATGACAATGTGACAGTTTAGGATTTACATTCGATTCATTCAAACATTCATCATCCACTCTATTGTTGATTGCATCGAACATCCATGCAATCGAGTGCATCATCAGACCACGATGAACAAATTGACGAAATTCATTTATCAAATTGGATTTCTGTTGATCATTGATATCCAAATATCCGGCGCTGGTCGGTGACGACATCGGACAACATTGATCGATAAAATCATCAATGGCAATAATCACAGCATTATTCAGGCGTCCATTGGCAAATGATTCTATTGGTTTGGTCAACAATGTTGCAGGTATTGAACGAAGTTTTTCCGGCAATGATCCACTGAATATATGGTCAAATGGAATCAATTTGATTGCCGATGATGATGATGATGGTGAATTGTTTTCATTTTGATTATTTTGTGGCAATTTCTGTTGGATGGATAAACATCGACGTTCAGAATCGATTTGAAACCAATTGGGTTGTTTCGTAGAACGTGATTCTAAGTTATACGCAATACGAACAATTTTCCGTTGGTTTTGTAATGATGAAATTTGTGTCAATTTCGATTGAAACCTTGGAATTGTATCCAAAAATTTAACCAATTTGGATTCACCATCTGATTCTCGTTGTATTTGAGCATATATGATTGGATCATCTTCGAAATCGTATTCATCTATCGATCTATTCATGAGCAAGAGAGAGAGAGAGAGAGAGAGAGAGAGAGAGAGAGAGAAATAAAGACATATAATTCAATACTTTTTCTCTAATTTATGGTCATCATTTTGCTCTACAACAATTGTCATAGATGCCTTTAGATGAGTAATGCTTGAAAAATCAAATTGATCATTCAGTCACAACAAACATGGCCAAGAAAAATATTAGGTTGATTTCAACAATAAGATTAATAGATAGATGTATTTTATATCTGTATGAAACTGAATGAATAAATGAGAAAAACACAAAAAATGGAGGTGATAAGATAAGACGGCGATGAAATACGTGAAGTAAATTTTAATTACCTCGAATCACTCAAAACACACACAAAGAGAAAGAGAAAGAGAAAGAATCCATCATTCGATTTTGGTTTTGCTATCTCATGAAAATGAGTGAGTGTGTGTGTGTGTGTGCTATCAACATTCGATTCATCATCATCATCATCATCATCATCATAATAATCATCATCATCATCATTATCATGTCTTAGCAGAATTATTATTGCCAAGAAAGACAAAGTTCATTTCATTTCATTTTTTATCCGCAATGAGTGAGAAATAATTCTTTTTTTCTGGCCTCTGGTATGTATGTGATGGAAGAATGGGGTAATGGCAGTAAACTAAAAATAAGAGAAAAAACTTTTATCTAGGAAAAATGGGAAAAAATATGGATGCTAAGAATTAGGATTATGAACCAGTGAAAAAAGTGAGAAAAAAATTGAATCAAAATGATTGGTCTTACAAATTCATCACGATGATAGATTTCATGTGTGAATGTTTTTTTCATGACTTGGTTAACGAGGACATTCATCTTGTTTGTTTCACATATGGAGGGTTTTGGATTTTTTTTTCATATTTGGAACTTTGTTTCAAACAATTTCGCATCAATGTTGGGATTTATTTTTCCATTTTTTCCGTGGCTGCAACTGCCATAATTCATAATCCATCGAAAAGCAAGCGAAAAGAGTGTCAAATATTTTTCTGTTTGTTTTAGCCATGTCATAAATAATCATTTTGGCTCTAGGATAATCATAAGATTGTCTTTCACCGATCACCATCATTTCTATTGATGACAAATGCATAGGACGAAAGAAAATGATGATGATAATTTATTTTGACCTAAATATGGATGCATACCACTCGTGTTTAGCATCCATATTCAAAAATGTTCCATTCATTTATTTCGAATTCTTCAAAGCTTTTCTATATTTGTGTGTGTGTATATGATATCAAAAGTAAATGTCCCGAATGAATTACACATACATCGAAAGATGAATGTTCACTTCGTTGTGCATTATTATTTTTCATCTATATTCTTTTGAGTCATTTTCATATCACATTGATCCAGGAACACATACAGAGAGAGAAAGAGAGAGAGAGAGACGGAAGGATTCTTGTGTCTTTGCTTCTTTATGAATTTCGACTTGATTACGAATTGAATTGAATCGAATGAAGTGAGAAAAGAAAGCGATACACCGAAGGGAATATTCGTGTGTGTGTCTGAGACTTGAGAATTAGGCCAGAAACAGCTTACTCTGTTGCTGGAGTTGTTGTTATTATTAAGCATCGTTAACGTTATAGTATGATGATGATTTTCTTTTCATTTTCTTTTCATCTTCATTTTCACTCTCACTTTGAAATCGTAAAAATCTCTTTTGCAAGGATTTCTACTTGATCGGTTCCGACAAAGAATTATGATTTATGCAGTATGCAACATAATTTCTGCATGTTATATAGATACACCTTGTTCTGTCATTGTTGTATTGTCATCATTTTCATTTTTCTCTCCCATAATGATATGTGGTTTTGTGAGAAAAAAAACTATAAATTTCAACATCAGTCTATTATGTGGATGGCATTTCATTATCCGAATGTTTTTTTGTTTTGTTTTCCAAATTCCCAAATTTTTTCCATTCTCACCATATCTCAGTTATTGTTGACCAATTGTATTTCCATTCCGATCGATCGATGGCCTGATTTGTATTGAAAGATTCCCGAACAGGAAAAATGAATGATTTCCTTTCTTTTCTATCCATATTGTGATGAGAATGAAAGCCAGCCAGCCAGCCAGTCAGCCACACAGATTGGCACGAATCAATTTTTTTCGATTTTCTTCTCTCATTTCTTGAATATCTAATATTGAGATTTCTTTCTTTTTGCTGCATTCAAGTATAACGGAAAATAATTTGTTCTCTTCATCACGATGATGATGATCATGTATATGGAGGATGGATATCCATACACACATTTCGAAGGTCATTGAATTGGAAATTATTATATTTTTCCATATTTCGAGTATCGATACTACACCAGTGTGTGTGTGTGTGTGTGTGTGTTATGAGAATCAATCTTGCATCAATCCCAATAGGGAATCATATGACCATTTCTTTCGTTTGTTTGTTTGGTGGTTGCTGGGTCATATGGATCAATTAATTGTCTTTCTTTCTCTCTGTATGAGTTGTTTGCTTGTATACCGGTTCAATAAACTTGAGAATTGAAATAATAATAAGGAATTAGAAGATGAATCTTGTTGCTGTTGTTGATGAATTCTGCATCATTATTAGTATTCCATGCTCCCTTGAGACATGAATTTGGCTTCTTTTCATTTCAATTTTTTTTTCACAAACATAACTCTTTTTGAAGGGAAAATTGAATTTTTTATACAATGCAGAAAATCTTTGGCAATTCATTTATTCAATGACATTTGTGACAGTTTTTGTTTGTTTCGTTTCTTCATTTTTTCTTTGAAATTTGTTTGTTTTTTTTGGCGAAATAAATTATTTATTATTCCATGGATTTATTCATTGGTCTAAATTAATTTTGTTTTCAGATACACTAGAGAGACAAACAATCCATTTGGATTTGATTTAAATTCTATAATTTTTCTTGTGAAAGAAGATCAATTTTTCCGAAAAAACTTGAATGATTCCCAATGGAAATATCATCATCATCATCATTGTCTTCGTCGTCGCCGTTTCTAAGAAAAAAGCGAAATTCACTGATTTCAATTTTCAAACTTTTTTCATTCAAATTTTACGATAAAACAATGTATTCATGGCGATAATGGGGGGTAGCAGTCGATTTTATTTTATTAATAAGAAGCAAACAATAATATTGCGCCGACAGACTGATTATTCGAAATGGATTCATCAATAAATTCAATTTAAAATTGGATTAGATATATTAGTAGGGCGAAGAAAAAATGAAGAAAGCTCAGACAATCGAAATTTTGTTGTATTTTGTTGTTTGACTTTAAATGCAAAAAATCGAAAAAGAATGGCAAAATTACTAACAAACAAACTGAAGCTGATCCAGATCATTGAACAAACATTTGTCTGTAGTCTGTATTTCGTTGTTTGTTAGGTTGACTGAATCAGGCAATAAAAAAGAAGGAAACGGAAACGTTAAACATTTATCTGTTTGACTACAACAATAAGTTTTGATTAGAACAAGTTGACCAATTTGCTGAGTTCCATTCAACATTACTATATGCATGACATCTTCTTTTTTTCCTCACTAAACCGGCCATTGAATGATTATATTCAGAATTTGAAATGTATCGAAAAGAAAGAAGAAGAAATATCGATCGATATTCATGGCAAGTTTTGATTCGATTTGATTGAAGCAATAATGATTATACATTCCATGCATGTGATGATCATCTCAATGTTGGATACGATACTAGGAAAAAGTTTTTTCTCATGACCACAACAACAAACAGCAACATCTGAATTATGCGAAATATATAGGGAAAACTAACTACTGCTGGCTACTAGCGTATCGAAATATCGAAAACATGGAATACAAAAATGAACACTAATGTTCAAGTTGTTCAATTGATTCATACATCAATTGACTGGTGTTTGGTTGGTTGTTTCAGGCAAAGAATCTAAAATCTATTAGAATTCAATGATCCCAACACCCACCAAAAAAGTATATGGCAACGTTACGTTTGAAAGAGAAAGAAAAGATGTCGAATCTATCCAACAGCCCAACAGTATGGATATATTATGATTATGATTATTTTGCTCTAATAAATAATAATGACCCTACTACTAACATGGATAGGAATATTAAAAGACATACAGACATACAGACACAACACAGATTCACTGGATTGATTCAAAAACTACGATAGGACACCATGGATCATATACTAGAGGAGGCGATTTTCTTCCTTCTCCTGAAATGGATTGAAATTCATTTTGCACAGCATGTGTCGTCGTCATGCACGCTCGGGCGTCACATTTTTATCCATGGTCCATTTTTTCCTTGTGTTGGCTATACTTTTCTTTATTATTTATAAAATATAATATGATCATGATGATGATTGTTAAATCAGATCAGAATCCATGAACCAATACGATACGTTTGCACACTTAAATTCGTCATCAATTAAAAGTTGATCAATAAATCAGGAAATAATTTTTTCTGAGGGATCAGAATCCGATTTGTTGGCAAGAACTCAATGAGAAACCATACAAAAAACTTGGAATTTCTTTTCTCTTCAGGTCGGCATATGAATTGAGAATTCGTCCTTTTAAACATTTCAAAGTTTTTGTTCTAAAATTCTGTCAGGTTTGATCAGAGTATAATTTGAATACAAACGCACACATACACTCAGATAGTTCTAATGAACAACATGTTTGTTGTTTATTCATCAACGAATTATTTGTAGAAAAAAAGTTTAAATTTTTCCTGAAATTTAAACTTTTTCAAACATTATAACTCGAAAAAACTAACTTTAAGATTTTCTCCCTCGAAAATGAGTATGATTTTTGTTGTTTGTGTGGTTGTAGTTTAATTCAATTACAACGACGGATACTGTTGGTTTTGTGTTGTTGCTTTACAGTAGGTTCATTTGTCATATGATGAAAATGAAATTAATCTCCAACAATTCATGATGAATACAATTGCCCCATGGGTTTCTAAGCTTCAAATCACCATCTTCAACATCCCGTATCCGGTATTATCGT